TAAAAAAACTTAGCGCCAAAAAAAATAGGTCATTGGACCTTACTTGGTACCTGTGACATCATAGGTCAAAGGGAATAGGTTAAACCATTTTTGTCTTTTAAATAAAATAGAATAATTTTTTTCTATAAAAGAAAAAAGGAGTAAAACTCAGTAATGAAACCCTTTTAGTAATATTTTGTGGAGTGCTGAGACATAAATAAACTTACCCCTATACAATATGGAGAAGTAAACCATTCCCTACAAGGGAAAAATATATATATACAATGGTGAAGTATATCGAGCCTCACAGGGTCCTTAAAAGAAAATATGGACCACACTCACATAGTCCAGAGCCACATATGGATAGGCTCAGATCGCTTGCACGGAGGTATATTAGGTAATACCAAACCCTCTCTGGATGCTTGGTCAGATATTCCTCAAAATGGGAAGACAAAAAAGAGAAATGAAATACTTCTGGTGCAGATTTAGAGAAGTCACTAATCTGAATCAACATACAGGTAACAAATGGTTGATCACCTTTTAGAGACCAAAGTATATATGTGTGCTTATAAGGAGAGCAATGCCCCTCTTGAATGATGTAGTCAGAGAACAATGGAGGACCTCTGAGTGCAAAGATCACTTAAAATACACTTTATTAAAACAACAAAATATTAAAAATATATAAAAAGTGCTTAGTGATACCAGTCCACAAATGTAGGACTCTATTAAAATACACACATAATATAGCAGGCAATAGTCTATTACAAAACATGATACCTAATATTTTAGTTAGCTATACACTAACCCCTGGTTAACCACATCATTACACATACAACATCTACTGAATAGTCAGCCATAGTTGTCTTATCTGTATGCATATATGGTGTAGCAAGAGAGATTCTCTTTTAAAGATAAAGTCTGCAACAAACAATAGTGTTGGCTTTACATTAACCCCTGGTAATATAAAAGAGAACAGGTAATGTTGACTAAACCGTTACCAAAAATACCATGTATGTATATGGATTACCATTGGGCCAACATTTTAACTTATTATCATAAGTCCTAATTCAAAATCGTCTGTAATGTAGACTATAAAATAAAATACATAAAACCAAAGACATAGGCGATTTTGTGTAAGGCTACATTTCAAATTTGGAACACCCCTATAAATAACTTTAGGTTTATCTGGTAAAATTGAATTAAGAATATCACTTTTTAAAATTGGCCAATATTTAGAAATAATTTTGTTTACTCTGGCAATTAAAATCACAAATAAAAGGTATCATGGTGTCATCAGTGTCCTGTTTTTTTTCTTTATAACTTAAAGTTTCTCTGTCCTGAATTTCAACTTCTTGAACAGCTTTATCCAATAGTACATCATCATACCCCTTGTCACTAAAATCCCCCATAATCTTCTGTGCCTGTTCATGGAATTTAGTATTATCAGTACAGTTACTTTTTTATTTTCATCAAGTGTGCCTTGGGGGCATTTAAAAGCCATGGGGGAATAGTGGCTGTTATGATCTACCCCACGTGACATTATTCCCTTTTATTCCAGAAGTTTGGTCCTTAAGGGGTTAAAAAATAATCTCTCTTGCTACACCATATATGCATATAGATAAGGCATCTCTGGGTGACTATTAGGTAGATGTTTTATGTGTAATTATGTGGTTAACCAGGGGTTAGTATATAGCTAACAAATATTAGATATCATGTTTAGACTATTGCCTGCTATATTATGTGTATTTTGATCATATAAATTTTTTTCCCCTTTTCTCTTTATCTCCTTTTCTTGAATCCGATGCTGTGTGAGTTTGGAGTGCATGATTAATAGCTCCCAATGACAGATTGATGATTGCCAGTACTTGGCACATTGAATAACATTTGCCTGTTAAGGGAATTGCCCACACTGTTCATGACCGTAATGGAATTACAGATAACGCTATGCTGGAGATGGGCGGACCGCAAGTGACGTTGCATATACAGAGCCTAGTATAATTGGCTCTCTAAAAGGTGAGCAACAATTTACCTGTATGTTGGTTCCGTGACTTCTCTAAATCTGCACCAGAGGTTTTTTGTTTCTCTCTTTTGTCTTACCATTTTGAGGAATATCTGACCAAGCATCCAGAGAGGGTTTGGTCTTACCTAATATACCTCCGTGCAAGCGATCTGAGCCTATCTATATGTGTCTCTGGACCATGTGAGTGTGGTCCATATTTTCTTTTAAGTACCCTATGGGGCTCAATAAATTCACCATTGTGTATATATTTGTTTTCCTTGTAGGGAATTGTTTACCTCCCCATATTGTATAGGGGTAAATTTATTTCTGTCTCAGCAATCCACAAAGTGTACTGTTTTGGTGGTTTGTTCCACCTGGGTCACCAGTTTGTCAATACAATGTCTGTGTAATTTTGGGGGTATTTACACATGTGTAGAGCTGCTGTTTATCCACTTCTGGTTTATCTGATAACCCACTGAGCGCCTTTTATACACAGAACATTCTTTTTATATTGCCTTATAGTAATATAGATAAGATCTCAAAAGAAGCTTATTAACGGGGCGGAGTTGGAGGCATCCTACAGCAGCTTCGCATGAAACTCCAACCAAGAACCGATTATTGGCGAAAAACAGCACATTTTACAGAGCCTCACAAAGCTTCCCGAGTGCCTTGCACCATGGGCAAAAAGGCGAAAAAGTATAGAGCTGAACTCTGCTCGGGTTCCTGAGATATCTGGGATTTTATGCGCACGGCCATGCAGCCTGATCCGTTTAAGATGGCGCCGGTTGAGGCCTCTACTTCAACAAGCTAAGCCTATGACCCCTCTGGAGCTAGGTGACTCAGCTCCTTCCACAAAAGCCGACATAAAGGCTCTGATGAAAGAAATACAAGCAATGTTCCACGCTGACATTGCGCTGGTCCAGAAGGAAGTCTCAAGAGCACTGTCACCCAAACTGAAACAGGCGCAGCCCTGGGATCGCTGCAAAAGCAATACAGTACCCTGACTACACAACCAGCTAATATGGGGGATAGGCCCAAGACACGGAACATGAGGCTCCGAGGGGTGCCTGAGTCTGGCATCAGCTCTGAATTACCCTACTACTGCCGGAGGCTCATAGCCACACTATTGTTACCTAAACAAGTAAAGCAGCTGGGGGTGGACTCCTGTTTTCAGCTAACCAGAGCCATCAAAGCTCCCCAGGAGGCTCCCAGGGATGTGCTTGTCAAATTTGTTCGGTACTCTGTTCGAGGGGTTATCATGGAAGCTACAAGTTCCCTTTGAGGGGGCGCACCTGACATTTTACAGAGACCTCTCCAGGCACAAAACAGGTCACCCAGCTGCTTCGTGAGAACTCAATCGCCTATAAATTGGGTCAGCACCGACTGGTGGCTGATAAAGCAGACAAGACACACCTTCTATCAAACAAATCAGAAGTCCCGGCTTTCCTTCAGGCTCTGGGCCTATCAGCGGAGGTTGTTCCAGCGGAAGCTAATCTATCATGGACTGTCGCAAACCTCAATCCATTTGTGCCTAAGGGAACAAGAATGGGAACACCCGACCTACATGAAACCAGCAACTACTGCTACTCGTGCCACCACTCATTGTTTTGTTTGATTATATTTTATTTCAAGATAAGTTTCCAGTTTGAATTTAAATTTTCTCATAATTTGACTTCAACAAGGATCGCTACCATTCATCTGACTGCGTAAGCCGATAGCCAGTCAACATACCCAGTTTTTGGTTTTTTATTAAAAAATTAAAAAACGGCTCCAACAAAATGGCAGTTAGAATAAGACTTAAAAGTATAAAACTTATTATGAAATACTGTTACGATGGAAGGGGTTTATCACAGTTTTTTTAACATACGTTTTACACTTTTATTAGGACTTATCCTAACTCCTCCATTTTGTTGGAGCCGGATCATTTCTATAAGTGTGTTGCTCCACGATTTTGTTGGAGCCCAGTTTTCATTTATCTTAATACATTTATTTATTTTAATCTTGGCCTTATCTATACTGGTTTAATTATTGACTTGTGCTCTTTTTTTTTTTTTTTTTATGTAAAAGTGAAAAAAAAATTTCCTTTCTATAACCTATTCCCTTTGACCTATGATGTCACAAGCCACCGATTAAGATCACGTGAACCATTTTTTGGCATCAAACTCCCAGTTACCTATATAAGCAGATCACCCCCAGGATTTTTACACACTTCGAAAAAACCTTTACATAAAGGTGAAACGCATTCGGTTTGTTCTTTTTGGTCTTTTATATTATTATTGCCATTTATATAGCGCCAACAGATTCCGTAGAACTTTACAATATTATGAGAGGTAGGATTTAACTGCATCTATTGGAAGCGCAACCATCCACCTACTGTGAATTAATGTGAAAATGTATTGCTTTAGAAAAAGTAGAATAAAAACTTGGAAGTGGCCTTCCCACAAACATTAGTGTATATGTATAAGGCGTTTTCAAAATGTCAAATATAGGCTACTAGCAAGACATGTAATCACCCATACAAGTGACCAACAGCAGCATTTTCTTTTAAGTACACATCATGCAAATGCTGGAATGTTATGGTGTGAAGAACTTTTTTTTGTGAACACATGGGCAGATATAAATATAGGTGAGCATTTGTTTAAAGGTTATAGGTCAGTGAAAATTATCTATTTTCCTTGTATGGCAGGAATAGATGACCTAAAATTCCATGGTTAACAAACAAAAAAAAAAATTGGAGTCTAATATTCAGCCTATGAAGACCTAGTAGTAATGAGAAATGCTAGAGCATGCTTTTAGAGTAACAGTTTCTGCTCCACCAAGTGTTTTATTTTTGTTTTTTTTAATAAACATTCATTGAAAATAAAATGATGTACATTCAAAAAAGGAAAACACTGAAAAGACTTATGTACATTGTATATACACTTAAATAAATCATTTAAAATACAAACCTACGCACAGATAGATAAATAAAGTACATTGTTTTGAGGTGACATGTAGTTCTATTCCAAGCAGTAGGAACAAGTTAAATTTTTGTGTCCATAAGAACATTGCCATCATTATCTTTAATCCTTACTCTACCAGAAGCATATTTAGTTTCTTGTTGACCATTGCTATATACAGTTTTGATTGTTCCATCAGGATATTCTCTTCTTTTGAACTGTGGAGTATGCAGTTCTCGTTGCCCATTGTCAAAGGCAATAATTTTGCTTCCATCCCTGTGTGGGCAGTAAAGGGGAGAAAAGAAAATTGTGAAAATGTTTGTTATCCAGGATACACAATAACATCTAGTGAGGTATTTGAAGTATGTAACATGCAGGGTTATTCACCAAAAGCGTAAGGGTAGATAATTGAGTGACAAACTTTAGACAGAATAGCTTGGTCATTTAAGCTTGAATTTTGCAATTCTGATTTCAGAAAGTGTTAACAGGAACTGTAATTTGGCATTTTGCAACATATTATATACACTTTGTAACATATTGTGCCAAACAATGCCAAGAGCAAATGTATAGATTGTATTTTATGTAACATAGAATATTCAAGTTCATACTCTGACAGTCACTGGTAGCATGTCCTAAGACTGCTCACATACAGTTTTGGAAAGAACCTGCAAGCATTGCTAATGTCTGTTCCACTGAGAAGACCCAGTAAACATTTTAATCTAAATGTAATTTATAGAGTGTGCTAGTAAAACTAGTATCAAGTATCTAAAGAAACTTCACAGTGCAACAGTTTTAGTAAAGTTTGCCGACGTCACGCTGCCTTGTTCCTCGCTGTCTCTGAGGAGTATAGATTTATTTTTTGCTGGTGCCAGAGTGTGTCTGAGGCAGACATGTTCTGGCTTCCTTTACTTTTCTCCAGTTCTCTACTGGAATTGTGATGTGACTTCAGCTAGGCCTAAAATCTCCATGTGCCATATTCAAGTACAGGTATCTGTTAGTTTTGTGTAGCTAAGATACGGTCATCAATGTATTGAGCATGTGCTGGATTTGAAAAACCACGTGCCATACTGCCTATTCATATAAGGTAATGCTGTAAATGTTGGCTGATTGGTGTAAGGGTACAGATGGGGGATGAATCGCTATAAAAAGCCTGTACTCCATGTGCTCAGACATTTTGAACATGAGTTCAGCAGAGACCTTTGCTTCCTGAACTGACCTGTGTCTGGACTCTGTGCGTGGCTTCTTCAGAATTCTCCTATACCAACATGATGTCCAGGGTTCCCAGAGGGAGCCTGGGGAGGAGCTATAAGAAACGCGTGTTTTCTTTGTGCAGGGGTTAGGCAGAGGGGTGCTAGCAAGATCAGGCATATGCAATAGCTGCAGAATAAATAATTTAGTGTCTGACAGTGGTGTAACCATTAATTAGTTGCCATCAGCTGGAAAAAGCAATAATTTGGCAGTTCACTGGTTCAAGCACTACCAGTACCAACAGCTTCTTAATAAAAAATTTGGGGGAGTTTTACGGTCGGTACATCACATGCAAAACCAATCATTTCTGAACCATGCTGAAATAAAAATGTAAATTCAATGAAGAACTAAATCCTAAATTTAAAGAGTTTTTAAAAAGGGACGAGACGACTGGGAATCCGAATGTACAGTGTGTAAACCTGGAACTTTTTGTTTCTGTGGCAAAGGTATTGCTGATCTAAAAGCGCACATAGAAACTGAGAAGCACAAGAAGGCAATTCGAGGAGAGAGTTCAATAAAAATGCCAAATTACTTTGTAAGAGTAGGTAGTAAATCTGAATAACAAGTTTTTATAGTTGAAGGTATTTTTGCTTTCCACACAGAAAAGCATTACAATAGATTGCATATTCAAACACATTTCCGGATTCTGAAGAAGCTAGAATTTGTTTCCAGTGTTGGAACAAAAACAGAAGCAATTCATTCAGTTTTTGCCCCTCACTGTGTTGAAGGCATTTAAAGAAAATTATATTGCTTACAGAAGAGTTGCTACAGAAGGCAACATTCATGGGGCATTAAAATTATTTCCAATAATTATATATTTCAACTGGAAAAAGGGCGGTATTCAGTCAAAGTTAATTGAAGTGCGAAACATACCAGCTGAGTCAGCAGACACCATTTTGTTTGTAAAAAAATCTCTTGAATAAAAAGTACACTGCATTTACAGGTGATAATTGTAATAGGTTTTGCAGAGTACTCTGTAAAGACAATGGAAATAATGTTTTTGCAAAGTTAAAAAAGTTGTTTGCTTCCCAGCTCACATTTTAAATAATTGTATTCATAATGCTGCAGAAAAATTGAAACTAGATGTTGAATATTTTTACAATATACCTACCACTTTTTCCATATTTACACTGTTTGTTCAAAATGGAAACAATATTGTGATTTTTATTGAGATAGAAAAGATGCCACAGGCATAAAGGGTGTTAAGTTGTCCTGTTGGTTCAGTGAGGGAAAGTTAGTGAAAGTTCATGACCCCTGGTTAGATTGTTGGGCAGAGTAGGACGAATCACTGGGCAGATTTGATGACACAGCTGTTGCAGAGGACAAGGGCTGGCTGGGGATTGGTTGCTGGCCATGAGTGAGAAAAAAAGAGTGGGAAGCAAGGTAGGCATAAAAGTGGCAACGCGAGCGTAATCCCGGTCAGAGGTCTTTCAAGACAGGAGAAGCACAGACGGACCCCTCCCCTACTTGCTAACTTTCTTTATAATTATTGTCGTGGTGTTGGAAAGCATTGGGGCAAAGTCATCCTCAGGTTCAAGTTCTGAGGAAGGATATGTGTTAAATGGTTGTAAATAAAAGGCGGTCAGGTTAGCTATGACTAACTGGCAATTAAGTTATGGTGAAAGTTAAAAGTTTTGGAAGTAAAGTGAAACTTATGTGAATATATTACCGTTATCAAGTTATGGTGGTATGCCCCTTTTAAACTTTAAATAAAACACCACGACCAAGCCCACTGAAACATAAATAAACTGTGTTTGTGTGGTCTAAGCTATTTATGCCTACCATACATATACAGGCAGTTGCTCTCTCTCAAGGTGGTTATTTTTTGGTATTGGAAGAGTAATACACTTTTGCAGTGTTAGTCATTTTTTTATTTCAAAAAAATTCCACCTACTCTAAATAAAAGCTTTTTGAGCATAATTTTAGTGAACTCTACCTCTATCTACTGTATTAACTCATGAGTGCATTGAACGGAAAAGCAACACTTGTCGAAGTTCTAAACAATTTGGTTTTCCATCAATGTTTTATCTGAACATTTGACTAGAAACTTTATACCTCTGAAGGTTAAGGAACTTTTATCTCAAAAATGCAATCAAGGACTTGATTACTTCTCTGCAGAAATAAAAGAGCCTCTACAGTAATGGTTTGGAATACTTGAACAGGTGGTTGAAGCCCCTGCAATATTTTACTTAGATGTCCCTCCATGAGGTATCTAATTAAAGTGATGTAAAAGCTACTGTTCAATGCCTGATTAAGAAGGAAGTTCCAATTCAGGATGTGAATTGATTTGACCAAGTTAGTACTCTTAAAACATTTACAGTACAATATAAAAATGATAGTTTAAGGAATCACACCAAAAATAGGCAAACTATTTTGAAAGCTCTAAACTGTTATGTTTGTTGACTAAAAGAATTCAGATGACTAGGACTAAAGTTAAATTGATATTTGCCGAGAACAATAACACTGGCTCTAAAATTACTGATGATCATTCAGAATTGTTGAATATTGCTTAAAATGCTTCTTGCTATCTCTCCTTACTATGGCAATGTGAAGCAGCACTTCTCCCTTATGCAGGCTCAATGGAAAAAAAATTCAGAGTTACTTGAAAAGCAATAAAAATGTATCAAACAAATTCAATCTTCAGATAGGAATAGTTAGGCACAAGAAGTAGAGAACAGTGATACAAGCATTACCGGCAGTTAACAGGCCTGTTTTTGGATAACTAGCAGTAAATTCAAATCATTTTTCTGGGTTTGACTGTGTGTTACAGCCATAGTGCAGTCAAGAATCCTTTTTGAGGTGTTGGACAGTGGTCAAAGATTTTTTTCTGGCTTTGACAATGTGATACAAGCAGTTGATTTCCTACAGCTGTAATGCAGTAAACAATCCTTTTAGTATGTGAATTTTTTTTTAGTGCATACGAGGGGCCAGTTGCTTAGTGTTTTTCATGGATCTGACGCATCATCCCAGTGAAGGAAATATCCTCGATAGGAAGCCCAAACCCTCGACCTTCATTGCACTCACGTGACTAAATTCCAGTCCACAAGAACCTGCTCCTGGAGGTGTCTTTTTTTTTTTTTTTTTAACTTTACAGAATATGGTAACCCTATTAAAAAAGAATGGATGGGACCATGGCAAAGGACTCTGTCCTATAACCAATTCACTGATTTGAAGTGGTTATAGTGACTACAGTATCAGTTTCTATATAAGAAAAATTAAATAAACTAATTCGAGCAGAGAATAACAGAAAACATTATAAACTAAGGAAAAGTACAAGTCTCCCTGGTGTCAGTAGAAAGAACTTACGGTTTTATAGTTATGATGGTGCCATCTGGAAATATACTCTCCTCTGTTCCATCAGTGTTAAGATTTTTTATAGTTTGATCGGGGAATGTGATCTCTTTCTTTCCATCTGGAAAATGCTTTTCTGTAAGAAAAATATATAGGGTTTCACCTCAAAAAAATGATGCTGCTAAACTGTTGACAAAGTTGGAAAGGGGTGTCCAAAATATAAGACATTTAATTTGTTAACTCACATTATTAAAAAGGGACACTCAAGGCACCATAACCACTTAATGCAAATGGTTATGGGGCATCGAGGGCCCTAGCACTATCCTACAGTTCATTGATCAGCTATTTTTGAACAATGCAATCAGCTTTAGCCATACCAACTCATACTAGTGATGGGCAGCACTCCGCTGACAGAGGCATTCACCTGTGCAGCAGTGGGGCCTGGTTACCAGGGATCCCCACTCAGTGTTAAAATATTCTAGAACAGTTTAACACTAAATAGTGAGATATTACTAGGAGACTTCAGACACCCTAACCAATTCAAGGAGATGAAGCGATTGTGGTGCCTAGAGTGAATTTGAATGATGTAAAAGGTCTCCATAACAACATTGTATACATGCAAATGATATGGTACATAGAATACCGATCACTCTTCTTTCCCATATTGGTTTCTGACTGCAGAGATATGCTACAACTATTACCAACACTGACCTCACTCTGCCCCTGGAGAGGGCTGATTCACAGCCATGCACCTGTTCAGTGGCTCAAAAATCTCTGTGCACGGTCCAGATCACAATATTGTGTTTAAATAATTATGCTATATCTTTACAAAACCATTCCACTCATCCCATGTGTTATAGGGACACTATAGTAACCAGAACTACAGCTAGTTGCCCTGGTGTCTAAAAGCCTGCAAGGACAGGGAAAGGCAGTATTTACATTACTATCTAGGAACACCTCTAATGGTCATCCCTCAGACGGCCACTAGAGGTGATTGCTGGGGCATTGATTTTCACCATCTCCACACTCTGCATTGAGGAGCGGAATGTTCCTCATAGAGATGCATTGATTCAATCAAGTTTGATCTCCGCCAAACAGGCTGAGTGAGGGGCCAGTTGCAACTAGATCCACGCTGTGCTGGAGGCTCTAAAATGTTTTTTTACACCTAGAGTTTCAGGAATACTTGTTTGTATTCCTGAAACTTTAGGTGTTCTTAGCCCACAAATCCCTTCTGGATTTAATGGTTATTAGACCTCCATAGAGCAGGACTAGACTTTCTGATCAAAAAGAACCTTCAAAAAAAGGGAAGTTTTTTGGGGGGGTGAGGGGGGAAGAGAGTTAGGGTTTATATGCATATCTGTTTAATGCATCAACCCTTTCACTACCAAGCGGTTTGCAATTAAATATAAGATTAGCATAAAATTAATTTGAAGCAAGGGATGCGTAGCTAGCATATACATTTTACAACATATCAATATTGTTTATAGATTTCTTTAAAAACAAAGTTTAAAATTATGTAAATTTACACATTTCATTTTTACTTGTTAGTATAAAGCAAAAAATGCAATTTCTCACATACGGTAGATGAGAGAAAAAAATACCTTGTTGTCGGTATTTGTAATGTCCCTGAAGGCATTACTAGTAGTGCAGCTTACTACAAATTGCAACAGAATGCCTGCATTCTGTTAAATCCCACTTCTAAAATAAAATTTATGTAAAACGGTTATAGAAATATTTATTAATCTCTTCAATACTGATATATTGCGGACAGTGTCCATTCACTCCTCTCCCCTTCCTGACTATAAAAATTAAATGATCCATTTAAACTTCCTTCTTAGCTTCATATACCAACTTTATAATTCAGAAGTTACAGATTGAAAGATTAATTACACACCAATTTGTCCATTGGAAAACTGCAGTATTTCAAGTCCATCTGGGTACGTTGTATGTGTAGTTTCGGCATCAGCGTAGTAGTAAATCTAGAAGTATATCAAGATAATTGCATACAGTTTTGTTGGTTTTTACATAGTATAAAACAAACAAACACAGTTAAGATACATACCACTCTTTGATCAGCCATCACTTGCTTCACATCTCCATTGAAGAATGTTACAGTTGTTGATTTTCCATCAGCGCTCACTTCCTTACGCGTCCCATTTGGGAATAAAATTACATGACTGCCATTTCTTAGAATCCGCTCTATCTAAAATAAATAAGAAATGAAAAGGCTGACACAAAATGTGATAGTGTGTTCTCTCAAATGTGGACATCCAGAAGCAGGACTCCTGTATAATGTAGGGAAAAATAAAAATGTGAAACAGAATGGTTACAGTTCCGAGGTTCATGGTTAATATCAGCAGTCTGCAGCTCATGCCTTCATTAATCCACTTGCTGACGTACAGATGATGCAGTAAATGGTATTCAGCCACCAAGCACTCAAAAGACCGGTAAACAAGACATCCCAGCAGTTCCAGTTTAAATGGAAAATGCAGGCTGCATTAGTTCACTTTACGTACTTCGTGCATGATATAGACTCAATAGAATTTGAAATACAAATACAGCATTAAAATTATAATATATATATAATAAATAAAGGGAATGTCCTGTGAAGTGCTCACCTTCCCATCAGAATAGCAGATTTCTCCCTGAACATCATCTTCACTCCCCTTAAGTACAGGGGAGTGACTTTTCTGCTCTGTTACCAATAAATTATCCGAAAACTGTAGCAAAACAAAGATGAGCATTATAACAGTACAATGACAGAAACAAAGATATTTGCATGTAAACTGAGAATGTAAACTTAATATTCTAGGAGTGCTCAATACTAATAATTATTGTAACCCCCTTAAAAGACGTTGCACAATACCCTCGGCAGAGTGGGCTTTAACAACATTATGACAGCATAGAACATCCTAATAATAATGGTGTAGGGTTAAATACCTGTTCACACGTTGGGGGCGGGGTGGGCAGTGAAAGACCTGAGAGTCTTTCACATTAAGTTTGTATTCTAGTCCTTGCTTTCTTGTGTGTGTCACTTTGTTACTCATCTTCGATCACAGTATGCGCGGCAGGGACAGCAAAACAAGTGTTGCAGCATGAGAGGGATACCCACCCTCAAGCTGCAATCACCCAGTAGATGGCTTTGGGAAGCAGTTGGAAAATCCCTCCGTTAATGAGTTCTGGTTAGGATTAGGGTAATATAACAGTTAAAGATGCTTGGGGATACTATATGATTAAGTTAGGGTGGATGTACTGTGTGCTCACATCATGTCCTTTATGTACATGGTCTGTGTGCTCACATCTTGCTATTTTTGCACATGGTCCATGTGCTTACATCTTGCTCTTTATGCAATTGGCCTATGTGGTGTTATTATTATTACTGGCATTTATAAAGCGCCAACAAATTCCACAGCGCTGTACAATTGGAAAAACGAACACAATAAGAAAAGACCGATACAACAGGTAGAGGACCCTGCCCGTGAGATTGCAATCTAAAGATTTACAATGAGCACTTTGTGTTAATGATCAATGTATTTGCAGCACGTGTTCTGTGTTTTTGGTGGATGTGTTTAGTTGAATAGTGGTATGCACTTTATTCTCACACGATAAAGGTGTATTGTTGAGAATTATTTATTTGCACTAGATTGTGCCAACTGTATTTGTATTCTGATGCACATTATTTTCACAAGGTTTATGGTTGGTTTATATTGGATAGATGTTTTTAGTTTGAATTCAAGGCTATAGGCTATATAGTTGTATTGTATAATAGTGGTGGCACTATTGTGTAATGTCTATATGTATTATTAGGCTGTTAAAGTTTTTTATTAGTCAATGAGGGATAATATTCCTTAGGTATTTGATGTATTTTGGCATTAGGAAAGGACTGCTAAAGTTTACATGGAGAGTACATCTTCCATTTTACTGTATATTTTATTAAATAGCTACTGTATGTCTGATCGATGGCCAACTATGTTTCATTGTGTTTGTATTTACACTGCTAATAAAGTTGAATCTTATCTAAACTACCAAAAATGTAATTTGGATCCTAGACATGGAAGGCATTTAGAATCCAGGAATGATACGGCAACCTATTAGGAGTTATTTTTCTTAAAGGGACTCTCCAGGCAGAGTAGTTTACTCACCTGGTTCTAGCACCGGGAGCCTCGTGAAGCCGCGCCCCCTATTTCGTCAAAATGACGAAATAGGCGGGCGCGAGCAGGGAGCAATCAGACTCTTCCATTTGGAAGAGTCATTGCTCCTTTGTGCGCATGCGCGGCTTCACCGCACATACTTCATAGGGCGGCATTCATGCTGCCCTCTGAAGTCCTGAGCGCACTACCGCGCATGCACGCAGTGTGTGCGGCCACGAGCTGAACTGACTGACAGCTCAGCTTGCGGTCTTTGCCCGCTCCCTCTCCTCTGCTGACAGGCAGGAGAGAGAAGGCGCGCACACAGTGCCTGCTCTCTCCTGCACACTTCAGACGTATCTTAATATATCTGACGTGTACAAGGCCTTTTTAGGGCCCTACATGATAGGAAGTCCCTCTGGTGGCTGTCTGAGTGACGGCCACTGGAGGTATCCCTATCAATCTATGAAAATACAGTGTTTACATTAGATTGCCTGTAGGGAGCTATAGATCTCACCTGAACAAATACATTAAGCTGTAGTTGTTCAGGTGACTATAGTGCCCCTTTAAAGTTAGCGAGATGTGTAAAAATTACTATAGACAAAAATGTGGGGTGGGGGAGTGCCGCCTCTCCCCCATTTTAAACATTTCATTCATACTTAATGTTGTATTAGGTATACAGATAGGATACATAAAAAATACAAAAACGCAATATATAATACTTATGGGTGGCACTTAAATTACAATGGAACAGACATATAAATGTTGGTTCAATTGGGTCTTAAGTGGTTTGTAACAACATAGCCCTGGCCATATTTACCTTGGTGGGCTCTGGATTTGACATATTACAGACCGGAGAGGATTTGGAAGGCTTCATTGACTTTCCTAAAATGAAAAATATAACCGAATGTAATCCCATTTTGACTAAGCATGTATACACAAACAAAGCCTATACCATGGGTAGGCAACCTTCAGCAGTCTTGCTGTGGCTACATCTCCCCTGATGCTTTCCCAGTATTATGGTTTTAAGGGCATCAAGGGGTATGTAGTCTACAATAACTGGAGTGCCATAAGTTGCCTACTCCTGACCATACCATTTTCAATAGCTAGAAGCTTCAGGAATACTTAGATAATCCCAATAAATTTACAGCTCTTCACTGACAGAGTATTCACACCTCCTAGCCTCCTACAGCTTAACTGTAATGTCAATCCCTTCATAAAGATGAAATATATATTTGCCGATTCTGCCATAAAGCAAAAACTTTATCTTCTCTCCTGAGCTGCCAGCATGCAGTTTTGGTTGGTGTTACAATAATGTAATACCCACTTTTGGCTTCCGACTGCCTCCTATCCCCTTTGTAATCTGATTAGCCCTGCTTTGGAAGCCTGCCCCCAGAAGAGCAATGCTGCCTTCATTGCAGCATATCAGATGTCAGAATAGGATATTGGAGGGTTCTCCTGCTTTCTATGGACCACTCCAAGTTTCTGCTAGCACAATGTATGGATTATTTTTCCTCAATGAAGTGTCTAGGTGCCATGTGCCTCCCCAGTTTTAACCCTGCATATTAAAACATTTTCTTTGAAAGGTTAACCTGCCTCTAGTGGCTGTCAATATGACTAAAGGCAATTTTGTGAAATAACAGGATAAACTCTGCAATGTCAATCAGGTGGTCTCAGGAGGACTCTTGAACCCTAGCAGCCTTGGCCCAGTCACCTAAACAGTGATTAGGACTACATATTTGTGCAAGAAAATTCATCATAGAGCAGACACAGGGCATAAACAATCTGGACTCAATCCAGATAATTTACACAGACTTTGTAACCAAGAATCTTAATCCAATATCTATTTCCTACTTAATTTGAAAGGAAAAACAAAATGAATGTGTTCCCATTCGTGTCAATTCACACCACTCCTTCCCCTCCACATCAAATGAAGCAGCTGTACTAAGCGTTGCCTAACCAAACAGGTTCACTGGTAGCTCTTATCGGAGAAATGGAATGTCACAAGTCATAACACAAGCCAGCAGTGGTGATTGGCAATTAGGCAGAGTTGTCAGCAACTGTGCTTGTTTCCATAACCACTGGTTCTCATCCGGTAGTCCCCAAGATACAGAAAGCCACTGTTGGTTTCACTTCAAATGACAGATAGGTAAAGGTTAGTCCTCCAAATCCTTGTCACTTCGCCAGGGTTTAAATTTACACTCACGGGGGGCGGAGCCTGACACAGACCGGAGCGGTCGCACATTGCCGGAGCTCCGGTACAATCCACTGAAATCTGCAGAAATCGGGGAAAACCCGCATCACATACAGACTCCCAACCGAGTACTGACCTCGGAGACACACAGACACGCTGATGCCGTTCCTCCTGACACCCGGCTCCAAAAATAAACGCCGCGGCAGCAAGGCCTACAGATCGGGAGGGCAACCTCAGGCCCTTTCGGGAACGCACTGGCCCTGGAACGTCCCAGACTTTGAGGACTGGTACCCCGACACACTGAGCGCAGGTGAGATGGGCCGCAAGACGCAAAAAACGCCCCAAAATACCGCAAAGCCCCAGCGCGACATAGGCCAAATGCTACAGGCCTCAAACGCCATGAAGGCCCAAACTCCTCGAGACACATCCCCACAACCTTCAGAGGAAGGAGACACACAGGACAATCCACACCCCAGTCCCCAACACCCGACACCCACAGGGACATCGGACACTAGCGCACCGGCCTCCAAAAATGACATACAGGCAATGCTAACAGGCCTACAGCAGAATCTCAGACAAATGTGGGAAGCAGATCTAGCCATACTCAAGCTAGACGTACACACGGTGTCAACGCGCACGCAAGCAATCGAAGAAGAGGTCAAGGGACTGAGGGAGAATTACCTAGCTCTAGGGGAGAAAGTGCGCAACTTGCACGCCTCACAACTGACAATGGCTAGGCAAGTTAATCTCTTGGATGACAGAGGGCGCCGCAAAAATATTAAAATTCGAGGGGTGTCGGAATCAATGCCACTGGACGAATTACCGCATTTCGCTAGACGCCTTGTGGTCACACTTTTACCAGCCAAACAGGCAAAAGCATTCCAATTCGATGGGATCTATCGTATAGCTAAATCCCCACAAGCACCCACCTCAGCTCCACGAGATGTAATCTTAAGATGCCGCTCAATGGCGGACAAATTGGGGCTAATGGCAGCAATACAAGGGCTGACCCCACTCGACTTCGAAACATGCAAAATCTCCTTCTTTCAGGACCTGAGCAGAGCCACACTACAATGGCGCAAGAGCATGCACCCAATCACCAAGCAACTCCAAACGGCTGGGATAACCTATAGGTGGGCGACCCGAGGAACTCTCTGGATCACTAAAGGCGACAAGCACTTCAAGGCCACCGAACCCACAGAAGGCCCAGCACTGATGACTGCCCTGGGACTACCGAACCCCACAGAAAACTTGGGGACACCACTAGACCCTCAGCCTGGAACTTCCGAAGCTGAAACAGCCGTGACTCCTGGAAGAGGCAGAGATGCCAAACCCAAGACCTGAGGGACATACTTAAGCCGACAGCCGACTAGGCTTCAGTTCGCACATTCAGTTCAAATGTTCTGTGTAGCTAACCCTGACTCTTAAACTATATATAGTTCTGTTTTTTCTCGTTCTGACAATTATTGCAGCACGACCGAGGCTCACTAGATCCAACCATTTATGCTCCGACGACACCTCCCCCCCCCCCCTCTCCCTGGGGTTATAGGGAACCGATATCGAGGGCGATATAATAAACCGGACTGGCATCAGGCACATCCACTAGGTTGATAACCATAGCCTGGAACCACACGGGTCCGACCTGATCCTGCCATAATACAGCGACCTATAATCGTCTGGACACACTAGCCATAGCTATGAACTGTTTTAGCGACTACACGCAGCCACCACTAGACTGAAGGGACACCCTACGACTCATAAACCCACATCCTCGGGACAAAGGGCGAGACGTTAGACACAATACCCAGATTTAGTCATTCCCACCCTGTTCCCGCATCTCACGACCCTACAATACAAGGGGCGATATTGACAGATAGGTACCCTCTATCATCACGATTACCCGACTTACATCACTCGTTATAACATTGAGACCAATTGTATCTATAAAATGTTTGTGAAACGATCCTAGACATTTATTTACATGATATTCACTGTTTTGATGTGTAAAGACTATTGTGGCCTTACACATGTTTGCCATTTTCACGGACGAAAAATAAAGATTAAAAAAAAAATAAAAATTTACACTCACTCCTGGCAAGTGATAATTTTGAGCCCTTATCTATTGCATGGAAATAATTCACAGACAGCATTTTACACCTGCTAATACGGTCCTGGAGACCTTTGTGTGACAAAATACTTCTCATAATAAAATAAAATACCTGGTGAGTGGCTCTTCATTATCTTTATACTCTTTTCTGGTTGAGAAACAGGAGGAGAGGTTTTGCTTTTCTCCATAAAGTTTGATGGAATCTGAAATAAAGAGATATAAACGGGAAGCAAAATGTTATTTTTTTGAGAAAAGCCAGTGTCACAGATACACAGGCACACACTAACACATACAGATACAGACATACAGATCCAGACACATTGATACAAAAAAAAAAAAAAGTACAAAACAATATATACAGTCATCCCCCTCCCTCCTATTTTAGCCTCAAGTTTGCAATCTAGATTTAACTTTCTTAAATTTGCTGTTTAGTGAATAACCCAGAAAGCACCTGTGTATAGAACTTACAGTGGAATCCAAATATCTCTGATGATTTACATTAGTTTCAGCAGGCTTCTTTTTGCTCTCTGTTGCTTCTGATTTTTTCCAGGTGTCCACACGGACCTTTTCCATGAACTTAATTTCCTCTCTGAGCTCGCCATTCTCCTTTAATAAGGTTTCAATCTGGTTTCGAAGTCGGATCTTTAAGTTTGACCATTTTACCTCTTTACTTTTTAGCTCTTCTTGCAAATCTTTGACCTGTTGTTTCAAAGTCTTGACAAAAAGAGCACAACATGTTTCATTGAACAAAACTCACAACTAAATCAGTATTAATACAAACAACCAAAGATTACTACATCGGAGCTTATGTTATAATAAATATTGCAGTTTGTGGTTTGTTTTTTAGTTTGGTTACTGCTCTTGAAACTTCAAAAAAAAAAAAATCGACTGATTAATATACTTACATGAGAGGTACCGTGTTTACCCGAAAATAAGACCGGGTCTTATATTAATTTTCCCCCCCAAAAAAACACTAGGGCTTATTTTCGGGGGAGGTCTTATTTCGGGGAAAAGTGTGCTAGAATGCAGGTTTATGTTCGGGGGAATTCCCCAAACACAGATAAGCTTACTCGCGAATAGAATTCCGCAAAACTATGTTCGGGAAAAATTCCCCGAACATAGATTAGTGAACGGCTGGGGCTTATTTTTAGGATAGGGTTTATATTAGGAGCACCCCTCGAAAATAAGCTAGGGCTTATTTTCAAGGGATGTCTTATTTTTGGGGAAACATGGTAGAAGAGCAACCAAATACTGTTGGAATAAAAAAAAGATTAGGAAAAAAAGGGACTGGGTATAAACAGTCTCAAAACACAGTTTTATCACTATAAAAAAAAAAAAAAAATTTTAAATAAGTTTACAAAACATCAGGAGTATTGAGGAGGAATGTACTGGTTAATTGTAAAAAAAAACCAAAAAAAAACCTAGTAATCATTTAGAAATGCAATAGATTTTATGTGGACATAAAGAAGGTTTATATACACTCGCAGTCAAAAAGGAGACAAGAAGTAGAGGCTCAATTTTCTCATCAAAGAGAAATCTAATATATCCCCCAATGTGTTTTGTATTTTTCCATCACTACGTGCAAACTATGAAAAGATCTTAAGCAGTTTAAGAGCAGATCAAGAGAATGAGCAGGTAGCACTGCATCTTCTGGACTCCATAACCCACAAAATCCAAAAGTGCAGTCTGATGTAGTAGACAGTCACGACACTGCCAGACACTGAACAAACACCAAAAGGTTAAAATACTACTGCACAACCTAAATGACACCACATGAAGTTTCTATTATGTAGATAATGCAGATTTGTTCATGTACAAGTCCATATATTTCTATAAAAAAAAAAAAGTAAAAATTAAAAAGCCATAATACATGCACATGCAACAGGACAGGGTTATAAAAAGGTATACATGCAGGTGCAATAATAGCTAATAAAATTGGAATGGAGGTATTCAGAGAGTAATGATGTCCTCAGTATTTCAGAGTTTGTTTCACGCTGAAATTCAATATTTTATTGTCAATCTTCTTTTGAAAGTAATTTCAAATTCTTATTTTTAAAATGTTCTCTCACCTGTATTTCTTCTCGTTCCTTTTTGTCTGGGATAGCTCTGGCTGCACTGGCATACTTCTCAAATACCTTACGTTCTTTCTGCAGCTTTTTAATTTCTTCTTTTTTCATTTCCTCAATCCGAGCCAACTCCTTTGTTTTTTGCAGCTCAAACTCTGCAACCTCTTTCCTATCATTAAAGACATAGAGAAGAGAACTTTCAGTTCAAAAGTTAATTTTTAAAACCTTTGTACAAACATTTTACAAAAAAAAAACAACATGTTATAGTGAAGGATGGAAAGGAGTCGAGCAAATGTATAAAGTTGGTGGTGCCCAGTCATGCCAGTAGTAATATATATGTGTGATATTGAATATTGTAACAAATTAAAAGCATAGAAACATAGAATGTGACGGCAGATAAGAACCATTCGGCCCATCTAGTCTGCCCAATTTTCTAAATACTTTCACTAGTCTCTAGCCTTATCTTATAGTTAGGATAGCCTTATGCCTATCCCACGCATGCTTAAACTCCTTTACTGTGTTAACCTCTACCACTTCAGCTGGAAGGCTATTCCATGCATCCACTACCCTCGCAGTAAAGTAATACTTCCTGATATTTTTAAACCTTTGCCCCTCTAATTTAAGACTATGTCCTCTTGATTGTGGTAGTTTTCTTTTAAAACATAGTCTCCTCCTTTACGGTGTTAATTCCCTTTATGTATTTAAATGTTTCTAATACAATAATATTCCCAATTTATGGAAACCACAGAAGAAGAAGAAGAAAAAAAAAAAAAAAACACACAAGAAAAGCACCATAAAGGAAAAAAATAAAAAAAATTGTGGAGGGTAATGATCCCTGGGGTACTGGAGAATTAAACCAGGGTCTTAGACATATAGTTGAGCCAAGGTCTCCATCGTTAAACAATTTTCAGGCCTGTCATAAAGAACAGCGTTCAGAGACTCCATAGAATATTTTTTTTCTATTGCCACTGCTGGAGTTTGGATACCACTTGCTGTTTCCAACAGATCGAGATGAGGGCCTTTAGGAAATGCCTAGTAATAAATTTTTGTATAAAGAAAGGGAAATTGACATGTGGTGAAATAAAATAGGGGAGTAAACGAGGGAGACTCCCCTGTTGCCTTTAAACATTTTCTCCATGTCAAACCTGTCAAAGAGGAAAAAAAACAAAAAGCAAGCACCTGAGAGACTCCAACGTCTTCTCCTTGTCTTCCCGAAGTCTTGCTAAAGATGCATTTTCCATTTTAAATTTTTCAATTTCATTTTCCAGTTCATTTAACTTTTCCTTTAAAAGCTGAGAACGGACAGGATCTCCAAAAAAAAAAAAAAAAAAAAAATTACAAAATTCTATTTACTTATATTGCAAAAACAGTATGTACAGTGGTGTAAACCGTTCGTATAGGGTATGGAAACAAAATATATACGTGAAATTCCAAATTGTAACAAATGAAAATCAAAGTAGCAAACGGAGCCTTAGTTTTGCTATTGTTTTGTATTTAGTAAAGAACTCTGCTCATTTGACAGACGAGTAATCAGTCAAGAGGTTTGGTTTCATGCCAACAAGCTTACATTCTAAACGGTTTGTTTTCATTTTACAGTTAAAGGGACACTGTAGTCACTATAACCACTTTGTCTCTTTGAATTGGTTATAGTGCCTGAAGTGCCCTGGCACTGTCCCTCCATTCAGTGTTGCACCATGTTTGTGCAGTATGCCACAAAATAAGAGTCCCTGGCCACCCACAGTCCGGCCCCTTCTGTATGTGTAGCTAAGGCAGAGATTACACACTTACTTGTTGTCATACCCATTCATACCGTCAATTGGAGCTCTGACAGGTTAAAAGCAGTCAGCTGACACTCTCAGCCAATCACAGCTGCCCATTGCTGCTCAGGGTAATACTTCCTTATTAGCCAAAGCAGCACAGAGGGATGGACTGCCGTGGTCTCTTGTTTAGCATTAAAACATTACAACATTAAAAACTGTTTAATGCTGAAAGAAATGATGGCACCAGGGGACTCCATACACTATAACCAGTTTAATGAGATGAAGCAGATACAGTGCCTACGGTGTCCCTTTAAGTATTGAAATATTTATCCTGCAGAGGTAGAAAGACAATCATTATGGTCTAGTTAAAGTATCTATACTCAGATCCCTTTCATATCCATCTATCCTCCTCACAATACATGATCTACCCACCCAGAATTTGCAATAGGTATGTAAATGCTGAATGCTATTTTTGAGAAGCCAGTAACAGATCAATTTATCTAGCAGAAGTATAAATAAATAAAAACCACAGTGCATTACTTTATTCAGTAAACGAAGAGGCCTGCTTACCAGAATCTTCTTCCAAAAAAGCCGGCTTGTTTATAAACTGGGACTCTGGTTTCTGTTTGGGCTTTAAAGACGGAAATAGCTTAATTACCAAATCTGAAGTTGGAGGAGGACTCTGATTGGCAGTTGTAACATTTGTTTTTAATAGTTCATCCACCTTCTTTGAAGCCACTTTCCTCTTTATAGTTTTCTCTGTGGCAATCACTGGACTTCTAGTGGTATAAGCAGAGGGAATAAACTCCTTATTAGTAAAGTTATTTTCACAGAATTCTTGCTGGTTCTCCAGGTCAAGGTCAGTCCAAGTTTTTTCATCATCAAATTCTATAGGACTAGCATTTGAGGACAAAAGACTGGAGTCATCATCCTCGGAGCTACTATTACTTTTTTTCCCCAGCAATGTTGATTCCTCACCATCACTATTTTCTCTATCTGACAAATCTAGATCAAAGTCTCTGCTTTTGTTGTCCTTTTTCACATTTTTAGATGGACCTTTCAGTTCATCACAGTGAGGGTCCTCTTCCCTGCTACTTGTAACAATTCCAGAGTCATCTTCTTTAGTTCTCTCATATTCATCTAAACTCCTTTTAAATTCACTTGAAGACTGTTCTGCGAATTTAGAAGATTTCTCTTCTTGGTTGATAGACTCAATCATGTCTTCTTTCTTCTGTTCTTGAAGAACATGTGAAAAACTCTGATTTTTTTTTGAAACACCAAGCACACCTTTCTTCCCTTGGACTGGATCCAGTTTTCTAGTAATGATATCATTGTGTTCAACATTTTTCATTTGCTGCTGCTTAACAGGAGTAGAAGACAACCTGCCATGGTCAATCTGATAGTTTTGATCCAACAGTTTATGTACAAAAGAAGAATTGCTAGAAAAGGAGATATCCTCAGCAGCTTGTTCAAGGAGTAAAAACTCATCCAATTCAAAGTTTTCCTTTTGTTTTTCTTTCTCCCAGATTTTCTTTCGTTTTTGAAAGGACACTTCAAGAGAAAATTCTTCATTTCTGACATTTGTAAGACTGTCTGCATTGGTTTTTGTTGATATCCTCTGAAGTCCACTGTTAGCATGAACTGCTACATTTTCTTTGTTGGCTTTTAAAACATTTATCTTTTCCTGTCTTATGACATTTTTACCAGTCCTGTTAGGTATACGCTCATGCTGTCCTTGTGTTACAGATGTATTTTTTTTGTTGTGGATTTTCAGTACAGCATTTTTACGAGGTTGTTCAGTTTTATCCTTGCAGGTCTGAATTGGCCTTTTAAGCATTTCAGAACGGTTTTCAAAAACTTGTTCTTGGCTTACGGTTTTCCTCTGACTTTGTAGTTTTTCTACCTTGTTAACATTGGCGTCTGAAACCTTAGGCTGTAAAGAAGGAACGTCTTCTTTAGATTTAGGATTTACACTCCTAAACCTAGCAAGACCTTCCCCCCGTTTCAAAAATGGCTTTTTTGTCAAAGGTCTTTCTTCAGTCTTTGCGGGTGCCTAAAAATAAAACATTTAATATTGTGTTCAATTGTAGAAATATCCACTACATCATTAAAGGACAACTGTCATTTATTTGTTAAATGAGGTACAAGAAAAAAAAAAAAAAAAAAAGAAATATTATATATGTGTATTTAATTAATGGATCCTGCCATATACATATACTATATGTGTATTTAATTAATGGATCCTGCCATATACATATACTGCCGTATACATATGATGTTTTATTAGTTTTTCTTTACCTGCGGAGTATTTTGTCTGAGCCGTTGTTCTTCTAATCTCATCTGCTCCTCCACAAATTCTTCAAAGGACTTCTTCCGTTCCTTGAGTTCCGATACGATTGGTCTTTTGAAAGGGAATAAAATAAATAAAATTATGTGCTTTGACTGTACCATACAGGAGCCGAGGAGTTCTCCTGGATTTTTCCAGCCATACTTAAAGAGACACACTAAAATACAGCCATGACTGGTAATGAGAAGTCTTTGTGTTTTGAAAGAATTGAATCTGTCATTTTCTTAAAGAGATGGTACAGCAAACAATTAGCCAGTGTCGCAAAAGAATCAAAGAGGCTTCTAATTCGAAAGAAAATAAATCATACTGAAAGCAGAGGATTCCATGGTGGAAAGTTCATAGCAGAAAACGTGTATGTTATTTTTCTTCAGGGAAGCCATGTCAGCTCTTTGTAATATAGACAGTTAATGGGATTCTGTAGTGTAAGGAATACAAGCCTGTATTCCTTACACTATAGTGCCCTCTGGTCCCCCCCTCCCTCGGCAAAGAAGAGGTTAAAAAAAATAAAAGAAGAAAAAAAAATCTTTTAAGGACAGATCTCCCTTGGAGTTCGGTTGGTGCTCTGCCTCCTCCGACGTAGGGGCTAATGCATATGAAAAGCGAGCACCGTGGAGCATTAGGCTCTCCTCATAGGAAAGCATTCCTTCAATGATTTCCTATGGGGGTTTAACAGATGTTAGATGTCCTCATGATACGTGTAACCTCGTCTGATTAGAAGGTACTATGTAAGCCATTCAGTTATCAGGTTTGTAAGTTTACCATTGTTTCTTTTTATTTCTTTAAACATTTTTGGGAGAGGGCACATCTCAGTACAATTTTTTAATCTTACTTGACCCAAAGTTCTGTATTGTATCTCATTGTACCTAGTCGTATCCATATCACTTAATTGCCTCTCATTCTATAATAAAAAGGGGTAAGGCTTATCAGTACACAGATCTGTTATTTACAATTGTCTTATGTAAATCCATATATTGTTTCATCTTCTTATCATGCGTATACCTCAATAAAAAAATTTTTTACAAAATAAAATAAAAAGTACTAAAAATGTTCTGTCCATGGTCATATACCAATTAAAGACAGCAGATTTATCTATTGAGAGTAAAAATGCATCCACTACCCTCTCAGTCTAAGTAATACTTTCTGATATTTTTAAACCTTTGTCCCTCTAATTTAAGACTATGTCCTCTTGTTGTGGTAGTTTTTCTTCTTTGAAATATAGTCTCCTCCTCTACGGTGTTGATTCCCTTTATATATTTAAAGGTTTCTAATACAACAATCTTCCCAATTCATGGAAACCACAGAAGAAAAAGAAAAAAAAAGCACCAGAAAGGAGAGGAAAAAAAAAAAATTGGTGGAGGGTAATGATCACTGGGGTACTGAAGAATTAAACCAGGGTCTTAGACATATAGTTGAGCCAAGGTCTCCATTGTTCCCTTTATGTATTTAAAGGTTTCTATCATATCCCCCCGTTTTGTCCTCCAAGCTATACATATTAAGATCCTTTAGCCTTTCCTGGTAAGTTTTATCCTGCAATCCATTAAACCAGTTTAGTAGCCCTTCTCTGAGCGGTCTACAAAGTATCAATATCCTTCTGAAGATACGGCCACCAGACTGTTTCGTGGCCTGGTCAAGAAATGCAATATTGAATGCTAAAAATCCATTTACCTTTCTTCTGTATAAATAGCTTCCACACTGTTCTCGTCCGAGTGCTGCACAAAATATCTCTGATGATCATCAGTGGGTGAAGAATCTTCATTTATACCTACAACTGAACAATATAGTCAATAATTAGCATAATCTGAAGTATAAAATAGACAAAATGACTCCAAGTTGGTCAATGCCATTCTACAGGTGCTTTGGCCAGGTTTATATAATAGGGTAAGGAAAAGGAAGAAAAACACTATTTAATAACATAATGCTTAATAATTTAGATGTTACATATTATAGCTATTGTCAGAACAGTTTATCTAATCTAATAAAGGCATGACTGTATTTATAAAACATTTAGGAAAATAACTAGATCTAAATAAGATCATGATGTTTCTCAAATTCTACATTTTAAATCTGAAATATCACCTTTTACATGCAGACCTAATTAACAAAAGTAAAAACAGAGAAATTAGCAATTGATCAGAGAATCAGAGGTTATGATTGAAACAGAGCCAAACAGTACAGCATAAACTGCAGACCAGCACAGTGGCTATATTGAGTTTTATTTAAAAAATTTGGAAGTAGGTTGACAAAAACCAGTGCTGCTCTTCAGCAACACTGACAATGCAGAACTTTTAATTCAACTTTAACAATATCTATTGTTAAAGTGTTGACTGGCTAAGAATGCTAGGTCGGATAACATAGTCCGTCATACAACAATCAGCTGCATCCATTATATTGTTACCCTGGTCTGTCCATTGAAGAGTTCAATGAAAACAAGCTTATGCTGGATGTAATAACTAATGTATTACAGAAACAAAATGAACCATTGTATTTACATAGATTAGAATTACCGGTAAAATCCCCATTTTCCTCTTCAGACTGAATATCATTTTCCTGAGATACATCACAGTAGTGTTCCCCAATAGATGCAGTATTACATCTCTCCTTGAAATAGGAAGCCATACCATCATTATTCAGATCCTGCTGATGGTAAAGGTAATCCATGGATATTTGGTGACTGACGGGAGGCTGAATGTGTGCACTGCATCTTTGAGGTGCAGAATCACAAGGCTGATTCTCTTGCTCAGGTTCTGTAAAACATGAACAAATTTATTAGGGGCAGAACCAATTACCAGGACAGCAGAAATGTAGCTTGCACATGACAGGGTGGTAAAATGCAGTAATTCAACAGAAAGTCCTCCATAAGACTAATGAAAGAAACATGCAAAATATTAACCTAAACATAACTCACTAAGCTATGAAAGACTGCTTATAGTGTCTCCAGGTCACTGTCTGCTGACCTGATGAGAGCTGTATACCTCCAACAGAATAAAGTCTGCACTACATCTCATAAAAATAAACAATTATATCACTTTTTTTTTTTTTTTTTTTTAAAAACCTCATGTGGTAGACGGACAATCTTCCCATCTCCCAACTTCTGCCCTTCTAAAGACATGAAAACAACTCATCACTTGATTTACTGCAGGCGCAAACACAATAACAAGGTAAGTGCAGCTCTGTCCGTGAACCGAAACCTTGGATGGACATACTGGACCACCCAGGAGGACATGGACCAGTAAGCAATTGTTCTCGAACCAGCACGTCATCAGTCTTGGATTTGGACTAGATCTACTCACCACAGAAACCCTGCTGCCTGGACACCAAGCTCAGCAACATCTTCTGCTCCTCCATCAGCTTTTGTAGCTGCTCCATTTGTTGTTGCTTTAATTGTTCTTGTTTTTGTAGCTGCAATTCCTTAAGCTTTCAGAAACAAAAAAAAAAAAAAAACACACTTTAATAGCGTATACCAACACAGGATTAAGTAAATAAACTGACTTGCAAATCTAAGAATGAGCTCAATGTCCTACAGAAAACATGACTAAAAGAATGCACTCCCCAATAACGCATTAGAGTCCACCCTCCCGAATGCGTGCAAGGTCTTCTAAAAGTCTTCATCAGCCTAAATTGTACACATTGGTTTTCAATCCACTGTTTAGCAGGGGGTAGATGGGAGGGATCTATAGTCTTTATTTAATATCAGAGTCTTACGGTTTATGAAACATGCACACATTGGCCACTTTACACTCATTCACTAAAGGGGCACTATAGACACCAAAATAACATTGGCTTAGTGAAGCAGTTTTTGGTGTATATATCATGTCCCTGCAGTCTCACTGACTGTACAGTTCTCTTCCATTTAGGAGTTAAATAACTATTATGTAGACCTAGGCACACCTCCCTGCATGTAACATACACATCCTTCCTAAACACTTCCTGCACAGTCATCTAATGTTTACACTTCCTTTATTGCACATTCTGTTTAATTAGAATTTCTCATCTGCTTGCTAGACCCTGCAGTAGCCTCCTGTATATTAAAGTTCAATTTACAGAGCAGGAGATAAAACCTTTTAAAGTAAGTTACATCTGATTGAAAATCAAACAATTTAGTTTACATGCAGACTGTGTCATTCACAGCCAGGTGAGGTGTTGCTAGTTCTGCATAAACAGAAACTAAAAGTGATTTAACCGGGGGCCAGACACCCTGGGAGACCATACCACACTGTCAACCCTGCTGTCTTTATATGCAATCCGGATACTTTTCAGTTTTTAATTTCACCTGAGTGAGACTGCAACGGCATGGATCATTAAGATGAAGTTGTTTTTTGACTATAGAGTCCCTTTATTGCAAGTAGGCAAAAAAAAATTAGACTTGGGTAGCAGTTACTCTACATAAAGTATGCAGATAGTCAAAAGTTTACATGCTTTGACATTTGGAAGATGTTGGGAGTTTGACCATGGGGTAATTGCTGGTTGTGAATGTAGGTTCATGGGGTGAGTTATTAATAAGATTTACCTGATTAAATCATACATATACATACACACACACACTATATACTGTAGTATAAGAAGAGTTTTTCTATGCTGAAAACCCCCCACTAACTTACATTGCCATAATACAGACCAGGACCGCCGGGCTCATTACAACGCCCAACGGGTCGACTTATACTTGAGTATCGGCCATACTCGAGTATACACCCATGGTGGTAACCCGTGGCAATGCTCTGATGGCCGCGGGTTTTGCGAGACTTACACTGGGGAGCTGGAAGAGCTGCTGGGAGGTAAGTAAGCGCTACCTGCGGGAACTCCCAGGACCGCCGGGCTTGTAATGAGCCGGGAGGGAGAGAGATATATATTTATTAGGGACCGCCAGGCTTGTAATGCAGCCAATCAGCAGCAGACCCTCCCTCTCAGACCCGCCCACCTCCTGGACAGCATCCATTTTACATTCATTGTGAAGCTGCATTCTTAGTGAGCTGTCCAGGAGGTGCAAGGGTCTGGGAGGGAGGATCTGCTGCTGATTGGCTGGAATGTGTCTGCTGACTGAGGTACAGGGTCAAAGTTTACTCAATGATGAGTCCGCGGCGAACCTTTCGGGACATCACTAATGGGGATACATTTTTCTATATTTTTTTTTGCATATACTTCATTTAACAAAGAATATGTTTCCTTTCAAAATTTGATGGTGTAGTTCCACATACAAGGAAATTAGATCTATTTCTGTCAAATGAAGTAAAGAAAACATCCCTCCCAACTGCAATTACACAATGGCAAAAACTCAACACATGGACAAAGTTACATACAATGCATGGGGTGGGTAGAGAACAGAGAAATTAACTTTAAGAGGGGATGCACATCACAAAGAAATGTAAACTACCAGGTACCTAAGTGACATCCAAGTACCATTATACTGCATCTTAATTAAAAAAACAAGACAAAAAAAAGTTCAGATTCAGTGTCAAAGTATAAAGGGCGCACAGTGTACAAAAACATGTTGTTAGCAAACACCTTGCAAAAACAAGATGAACTGCACCATAACCAGTACAATAAGATGTAGAGATTAAAGTACTTGGAGTGTCCCTTTAATACAGCACACTGTAGTGATTATGTTGCCAGGAGTGCCTTGGCGCCCCTAATGTAGGTAATCATATCATTTTATAATGCTGTGACTTCATACATGGGGTTGGCCGAGCGTGACTCTACCTGCATTACTGCTTCCAGCTCCTAAACAGGAGGAACCATTAGCTCTCCTGGGCTAGGCTTAGAACACACAGAAAGCTACTGGCTCTGAGTCAGAAGCATTAGAGTTAGTGACCCCAGGTGAAATAAAAATAAATTTAAAAACCATAACCACTACAGCGCACGAAAATGGTTACTGTGCTTGGAATGTTCCTTTAATGCCCTGATTTGATTTATAAATGCATTACTTTATGACATTGTAAGTCACCTGTTCAAGTTTTCTTAATAAAGGATTGTTTAAGACATCTTTGGGATCATCATTTACTGGTATTGGACCCTTTACAGTATCTTCTTGGTGGCAATCAGGGTGATCATACATTGACATTTCTCCCTTGGTGCTCAAAGAGAAATTTCTCATTGTATCAGTTGTAGGGTTTACACCCAATAATCCTTTTTCGGCTTCTTCCTCTTCAAAAGAATCTTCACTGAAATGCCCAGAATGGCTTTCAGTTTGACTGGGGATATGGAAACCCATGGGGGTGCTGTAAGGTTTCAGTATTTGGAAGTCTCTTTCTTTGTCCAAGGCTGGAAAAGCTGGATTCAAGATCACACCAGAACGTGCCAAACTAGGCATGTATTGTGCCATGAAACTGGCCTCACCAGGATAATCGGAAGGTATTTCTGGCATTGTGTAATGGTTATAAAATGTTAGAAAACAAGGATGGTATCATGATGTAGAATGGAGCTGTGAAAAAAAAAAAAAAAGGAAACATCAAATTACACGTAAAGAAAAATCATTCTGCTCAAAAGATTTGAACTTTCACATTTTTGGAAGCCATTTTTATGTTATGTTCACCATTGTATAAGTGATGATTTTAGATATTCACACCTTAACCACTTCGCTTGGGTGAGGGAACCAATAATCAGGTTTCTTCTGTATAATGAAAATGTTGTAGACTTCAGTTAAATTTTAATCTTAGTTGCTGCACAATGGCAGACCAATTAGGGCCCCCTCTTTCCATGCCTTTCCAGCCTGATTATTAAAGAACACTCCAGGCACATGAAGCACTTCAGCCTGCTAAAGCATTTCGTTTGTCTGGAGTCAATTTTTAAAAGCAAAGCGGACCTTACCTTGAGAAAGGTATTTTTGTGTAAAAGTTGGGGGGGGGGAGGGAGGAGGAGGCTTGTCTTTTGGTATTAGGATCCTCTCTCATAGCATTGTACCATTGTATGTACATCACTTCTGGTATGTAATCCTGTTTGTTTTTGCTTTTGTATTTTTTATTATAAACACTGTTTTCTGCGTTATCGACTGTTAAACTGATATGTATTGTAATTACCTTTTTATTGAGCAACTAGTTTTTGTATTTATTGTCCGGCGTTTTTAAATTTTGCATTATTGTATTATATTTTTTGGATTAGTAAATAAAGTCTATTGATCTTTTATATAGTGCGGTCCTGTGTAGAATTTGTTGGTTTATATATTTATCTAGCCCTGAAGGAAAACAGGGTATCCATAGTGAGCAGCGGTTTGTACAAAAGATCTTACTGGTGCCGTCCATTTTACTGACTGCTACCGTCAATTTAGAAAAGCACAGATTTCAATAGAATAGAATAGCATTTTTTTTAGAATTGGAAGCAGAAACATCTCCCAACCATCACTCAGACACTCCTTCAGTTTCACAGAGCTGATGAAAGCGGCAAGCGTGCTGGGCTAGAGTGCACTTGCCTTTTCCTCTTTGGCTCATTGAGAAGCACAGGAAAGCCACGATCGCCTTCACACACTGAAAATCTGTGCCTGAGATCAAAGGGAAGGGCTTGCAAAGGCTCCAAAGAAAATATGCAGTACATTTGTTTTTTTTATAAAAATGCATGTTTTCTTTAGGGATATTGCTACCAAATAGTTACAAAAAAGTAATAATAGTTATCAATAGAAGTGAAGACAAGAGAGGGACCAATGAATAGCTCACACAGGATTAGTGAGTGCTGCAGTCCCGTGATCAATTTGGACTAATATTCCTCTAATTATTGGCAAAGACTTGAATAGCATCAGAAGAGCAGTTGCCCAGCACATCTAAGGATTCCTGTTTTTTCTTTATTAGACTCAGCCAACAAAATCCTTGGTTGCAATAATTCAAAAAACATTTTAAAATTAATTTTAACAGTATTTAGTGAGTAACCACCACGTCACATCTGTCAGTGTTATTCTTAAAGCTAGCAATCAGAATGGCAACAACTATGACAAAAAATAATAATAATAATAATAATAATAATATTATATATATATATATATATATATATACATATATATATATACATATACATATATATATATACACACACTAAAAAGAAAAAAGCCACAGTTGGTGTGGATACATTCTGCAAGTCAGCAATAGTCAGGGATGATGTTGAAGTTTGGCAAGTTCCCCAGGATTTAGGAAATAACTAAGCTTCTAGAAAAGACACCCCTACAGTGGCATTTTACTGCGATAGTTAGGTGGAAGGTGACACATAACATTATTCACATCCATCAAAGTCATGCTTTAACACGAAAACACCAAAATAAATTATAAACACTTTTGGTAAAAAAAATTTTTTTAAAAAATGCTACATTGTAGAAATCACTAAAATGCTATAAACCTGATTTAGATCCTCCTATAAGGTGGCATTACATAAATAAAGCCATTTTACATATTACAATTCTTGCTCCGTCTCTATACAAAAAAAAAAAAAGAGAAATACAATAATTGGTATAATATATATATATATATATATATATATATATTTACAATCATTGTTAAAGAAAGGAGTTACAATAATTGAGATATATATATTATATATACACACACATATACATACACACAATAATTGTTAAAGAGTTACAATAATTGAAAATATATATATATAAAAAATTACAATATTTTTTAAAGAAAGGAGAGTTACAATAATATATATATGTGTGTGTATATATAGTGTAACTCCCCATTCCTACATTCCCTGATGGCTACACACATTGCACTGTAAACCTACCTCTAGTTTAGCTGGTGGTCCACACACACCCAAACCCAGAGATGTTAAATACCCAGCTTAGCTAGCCACACTGCCAAACCTTTTACAAACAAAGCGCTCTGCAACAGCCAGGCCGCTAAGCGCCACGGGAAACGTAGTCCTTTAAACCGGAACTGAGACTATCCCATCTGCGCACTAAACGCGGTCTAAAGACTACAAGTCCCGGCATGCTCCTCTGCGAAAAAGTACGTTGGTCGCTGCAAAGGAAGTCGGGGTTTGGAGCTGTTTGACGTCACCGGCGGGAGTCCTGGCTGTATTGGCGCTGGGTGTAGGTGCTGCTGTCACCGCAGGGCATGATGGTCCCTGCTGATAGAGAGTGGCCTCAATTAATGGGAAAACCCCACCAGTTATTTGTTTAAGGCATTGTATAGTCATTGCAATAAATGCAAATAAATATAATTTATAGAAATAAAAAGCTACCTTTTAAATGGACACTCTAAGCACCATAACCACTGTGTGTTGGTGCCTGGACTCCATAGGTCAGCTAGTGGCTCTCAGCCAGGTAATACTCTAAGCCTGGTGTGAGCTTAAAGGACCACTCTAGGCACCCAGACCACTTCAGCTTAATGAAGTGGTCTGGGTGCCAGGTCCAGCTAGGGTTAACCCATTTTTTAATAAACATAGCAGTTTCAGAGAAACTGCTATGTTTATTAATGGGTTAAGCCTTCCCCCTAATCCTCTAGTGGCTGTCTCATTGACGGCCACTAGAGGCGCTTGCGTGCTTCTCACTGTGATTTTCACAGTGAGAGCACGCAAGCGTCCATAGGAAAGCATTGTAAATGCTTTCCTATGCGACGGGCTGAATGCGCGCGCAGCTCTTGCCGCGCGTGCGCATTCAGCCCAGGAGGAGGAGAGCTCTCCGCCCAGCGCTGGAAAAAGGTAAGTTTTAACCCCTTTCCCCCTTTCAGAGCCGGGCGGGAGGGGGACCCTGAGGGTGGGGGCACCCTCAGGGCACTATAGTGCCAGGAAAACGAGTGTTTTCCTGGCACTATAGTGGTCCTTTAATTACTAAGACCAGTAATAATGCCCACTGCAGGGCTTAGCTCAGGGGAGCCGATGGGAGTTTTTAGGAACTTCTGGCTCTTCTGTGATGGGAGTGGGGGTAGGGAGCGATGCCCACCCCAATGCGAGTGAAGAAGGCACTCTAGGATTCTATAGTGCAGGAATATGGCTTTATTTTCCTGGCACTATAGAATCCCTTTAAAGGAGCACTATAGGGTCATTAGGGCCCCCTTCAGCCACTTACCCTTCTCCAGCGCAGGGCTTCCTCTGTGCTGGAAACTCTCCACCCCCTGCCGATGTCAGATCCGAATGCGCATGTGCGGCAAGAGCAGCGCGCACATTCAAACAGCCCATATGAAAGCATTACTCAATGCTTTCCTATGGATGTCCAGCGTCTTCTCAATGTGATTTTCACAGTGAGAATCGAGGAAGCGCCTCTAGCTATAGAATGTAAGCTCTTTTGAGCAGGATCATCAATACTCTCTGTTCCTGTGCATCCAGCTCGTCTTGTTGCAAATACATGTCAGTTAGTCCATATATTGTACAGCGCTATGGTACTTGTTGGCTCTTTATAAACAATAATACTATGTTTTATGTTATTTTAAAGGACCACTATAAGCACCCAGACCACATCAGCTCAATGAAGTGGTCTGGGTGTCAGGTCCCTCTAGTTTTAACCCTGCAGCTGAAAACCACTGAGGGTTAATCCAGCCTCTAGCGGCTGTCAGTATAAAGAGCCAACAAGTACCATAGCGCTGTACAATATATGGACTAACTGACATGTATTTGCAACAAGACAAGCTGGATGCACAGGAACAGAGAGTATTGAGGATCCTGCTCAAAAGAGCTTACATTCTATAGCTAGAGGCGCTTCCGCAATTCTCACTGTGAATTTTTTATTTCACATGCCCTGTTTCAACCATGGCATGTAAATTAAGTAAACTCCTGCAATGTTATGTGCATGCAGAGGGCTGAGCAATCCAGAGTGTGCCCAAGGCTTCACAGGGTAAAAAGTGGAAGTGCAGTGGAGGCAAGTGTGTGTTTTGTTTTTTTTACTTACCTCTGCTGCACTATTCATCACAGTAATCCCAGTAATAATTGGATATATTGTACTGAGATGAAGGAATGAGATCTGCTTTAACAGAAAACTTTGAGCACCATAACTGCCATACCTGCTAGAAGTGGATATGGTACTTGGAAACTATAGGTGAACTTATTTGGTATTTATTTAAAATTTGGTATTTAATTAAAACAATTTTCAAGAGATTTCTAAACCCAGTACTCTGCTGGGGACATCACAATGAGTAAGTTCATGTTTTCAATATCTATGCAATATATTTTATAATTTATAAATTTGGCAGGCACTGTGCACCCCCCTCACTAGGCAATGAGGAGCTGTAATCCCTGGGGTATAGGAAGATTTAATTCTGTAGAATCACTGATAACCCATTTGTCGCTACAATCAAAGCGTTCGCAATAATGGCCCTCTTGCACCATGACCAATACAATGTATTCTTTAAATTTCTGTTTAAAATTCACTAATTAATAATTTAACCTCTTGAATTACTAATCAGTCTGTTTACTACAGACCCCTAACGCATTTTTGCTTGCTGAAAT